AAATGCAGCCCCAGCCCCCAGCAGCAGCCCACCCTGCCTGTGCAGATCCAGAGGCACCCCCGGATGAGGTATGGCTCTATCCCATGCCCCACCCTGGCTGAACAGTGCCCATCCCACCCTCAGCCCTACTTCCTCACCGCAAGGGCCTTGATTTGCCCCCCGCTTTCCCTTCCACAACAGACTTATCAGCTGGACGCGGCTCTTCAAGCTGCAGGGCTGTGTATCAGAAGTCGGATCAGTATAGGCCAATATGCCTCCTTAAAAATTGGCTATCAGCATTAGCCCCCAAAATCTCTATCAGTGCAACACTACACATTAGATCAGGGGTGGGCAATTATTTCGGGTGGAGGGCCGCATACTGAGTTTTGGCAAGCCATTGAGGGCCGCATGACAGGCAGCCAGGGGCAGATGCATATTAATTTTCTAAATTTTTTAGGGGCCCCGCAGGCCGGATAGAATGGGCTGGCAGGCCACATGTGGCCCACAGACTGCATTTTGCCCACCCCTGCATTAATCTTATGCGCAGTAAAGCATCACCGTCTATATGTGTGCAGCAATTACTGCACAGTATATTAGTCTAATGCACCATTTTCTGGTACCTGTAACCAGGACAGCTCCCCCTGCCATCCCGGGGCTTGGGGCCAGCCCCATCTCCCCCAGCTGGGATGGACCTGCCCGCTGAGCCAGGATAGCTTCCTCTGCTCTCCAGAGCTCAGGGCTAAGCCCCCATGTCCCCTGCCAGGACTGGCACGTGGAGAAACCTGGAACTTCCCTTGGCTGCTGCTCCTGTCAGGTTCAATTTGCTCATGACACAGGCTCATGTGTAGATGTGTGCACAGGAGCACTTTAAAGTCTACCATTATTCTCTACTCTCTTAGACGTAAACTTGATGTTCATGGGAGTATAATAGGGTATAAGGGCACAGGCTTGAGGAGACAGGGCAGAAGACTCTATCCACTTAAGAATACACCTCTCAAATTCCAGAGCAGAGCTCAAGAGTTCTAGGTCCCATCCCACATCCTTTTTTACACCAATTACAAAGTATTGCACTCTAGTGGCTAGGCCACCTAGTAGATAATTCTATAAACTGCTAGTAACTGACCCATTAATTCATATAGCAGAGGTACTGTTTATGGATTAAAATGCTCAGTGAAGGCTAATATAGTTTCATGTAATTGAATGCTTACTATTGTTTTCACAAACTCTTGCAATATTCTGTATGCAAAAAATTAATCAAAGCTTGCTATTATTCAACTGTTGTATGTCTGACCCCACCACACTTGTTACAGAAGTTAGGCAGTGAAAGGGGCAAGGGAGAAAACAACATTTCTTATGTAACAGATTTGTCACAGGTAGTTCCTGTGTCCACCTCATCTGCAGAACTGATGAACACCCAACTGCAACTGAAGTCACTAAAAGTTTTAAATATAATATAAAGTGCTACAAGAATGTTAAGTGCTCTGAAAAAAATCAGATCCTAGTCAGCACCCAAAATTAAGAGATGCAATGATTTTGGCCTTAACCACTGACTCTCAGATATAATATGGAGACTACATCTTACTTCATCAAAGGATGGTTGTGAAATATTATGACATCATATTGTGTTGCAACTTAATTAAGGAACTTTCTAGACTTTGATGGCCTGAATTTGACTACCTTTTTGTCATACATATTTTGTTTTAGAAAAAAAGTGGTAAGATTAAGTTGGGTAAGCCTTTGGGCAACCTGAGAATCTTTGAATAATCGTTATATTAACTAATGGAAGAGCTGCTTGATGTACTATATTGGCACCAATATACTTTGATAGTTCTATCAAATGACACTGAAGTATTTTATACGTAACTATATAAACTGTATTAAAACCTGATACTTAGAGTATAACACCGATGAGGGGAAAAAAATAACAACAAGCCTTTTATACATAAACAACATAAAAGCTTTGGATATTGTACAAATGCTTGAAATAACTATAACTTTACGGTTAAGAAAGTTAAGAGAGAGAGATTTTGTTTTATGGGAAAATTTTAAAAAATGGTTACCTTTCTATTGTTGGTATAAGGGAAGGTGGTGGACCTCCAGGAGGGGGTGGAAAGCCTGTAATATTAAATTGGAAAACATCACAAATTGGCTGTTAAAACAAATCTTTTCTTTGCAAAGGAAAGGATTGGGGGAATAGCAAAAAATGAACTATTTTAAGTAACTGACATACAGAATATTCAAGAATATTAAAACTATTCCACATCTATCTTGCCAAAAAACAACTGGGCCTAGAGCTTCACGTACAGCACTGTATTTACAGACTGACCTATTGATATAAACAAGAAACATAGGCAACTTTGTGTTCTACATTCAAGTTCTACATTTCTTAATAACATTTCAGAAAATATCTAAATAAATTTACCTGGTGGTGGCACAGTTATTGGTATACCTAGAGAAAAAAAGATGGAAAACTAATCAATTTTTAGTAATAACTAGAGTTCATTATCTGGAAATACAGTAAATGCTATGTCATCACACCATGTACAAACAGAGGCATTAGTACCTCATTTCCATGCCCTCAAAATAGGAAGAGATATTGCTATAGATTCCATCAGAACAACAAAACCAAAACCCAGCACGAATCTTGACAACAAGGTTGATTTTTTTTTCAAACTATGCCTCAAGTGCACTTAATAAACTACAAAAAAAAAAAAATAAATAAAAAAAATCCTCCAACAATGCACAAATTTAAGTCTCATGATTTTTGGAGGGAGAAGAGTAGTTGAATCATGGAATTTTACTGCTTAGGGTTGAAAGAACTGACTTCAACTACAGCAGGCAGGGAGCAGTTCTATGAAGTCTCCAACTAATGCCATACTATTCTACATCTATTAATTCTGCATGGTTAAAAAATTAAAATCAACATTTTCCTTTTACTGCCAACCAGTAAGCATGTTTTCTCTAAAGCAGTGGTTCTCAACCTTTTGCACCTTATGTCCCACCAACCATTTTGTCAAAAAACCCTGGTCCCACCATGATAAAAACAAAACTCCACAAATTGCACTGTTCGAGATAGCTGTTGATTTAACTATTTGAAGTGCAAAAAACTGATTCAATTGGGCAATGAGTTGAAGTCCCACCTACACAACCTTTGCGTCCCACTGGTTGAGAAACACTGCTCTAAAGCAGCCACATGCAGAAATTACTTGTTCTGTTTCTGTGCTTTCAAAATGCATTAAAAAAATAAATTGTGATTTTTGGGAGCAAAGTTTAATTATGTACACTAAAACGTCCCATAAAACTAACTTAAGTTACAACCAAATACATTACTCTGGTTGGGCTCCAGTCTAAAGTCCATTGAATTTAATAGAATGATTTCCATTGACTTCAATGGGCTTTGGATTAGGCCCATAGCACCTTATTCTGCAAACCTCACTTACTCATGGGGCAGGGTACAGATGTACCATACTGAATATTTCAGACTGTTTGTGATTCCATCAAATGCTCTCTGATGAAGTGAGTTCTTGCTCACAAAAGCTTATGCATCTCTATTTCAGTTAGTCTGCAAGGTGCATCTTATATCCTGCCTTCTGCCTGACTACACATAAACATAGCTAACTACCTCTCTCTACTTCTGAGAGTATTTCTATAGCTTTAAAAGGGAGGACTTTTTGCAGTACCACAGCTTAAGATATTAAGGTCAAAATTTTCAAACTTAGTGTCTAGAAGTTCATGCCTCTAACTGAGATCACCAAGCTAACCCTCAAC